ACAAAAAGATAACATTCATTACAGGCTGAAACACCAAAGACACCCTTTCAAATTAGCATGAATGATCTAGGGAAAAAGCTGTCTTATTTATCGGGAATCATCATTGCAATTATTGTTATAATAGGAATAATTCAAGGAAGACAATGGTTAGAAATGTTGACAATAGGAGGTTGGTGTCTTTTCGTTATTCGAGAAGTTCAATGGAATATTCATGTGAAATAACTATGTTTTTGAAAAAAATAGTCAGTTTAGCTGTAGCAGCCATTCCTGAGGGCCTCCCAATAGTTGTGGTCGTCACTTTAGGTCTGGGGATTTTAAGGATGGCAAAAAAGAATGCTATTATAAAAAAATTACATTCTGTCGAAACTTTGGGTGCTGTGAATGTAATTTGCGTGGACAAAACTGGTATGTATTCTTCCTCGCTGTGGTTAACAATGGATCTTCAAAACGCAAATTATAATAGGAATCACGTCCATTAGGAACCTTGACAGAAAATGTCATGACTGTTACCAAGATATTCACATTGGATGAAGAAAATACATTTGACTTAGAGCATGGTTTGCCAAATAAGACAAGTCCTGCCATGAGGGAGGTTATTAAGATTGGTGAGAGCATCATTATGAATAGTCATATATTACGAATATCATTATGGCATATTAAATGTTAAAATAATTTCTAGGTGGACTATGCAATGACGCTATAATAGATGATGAAGAGAAAAAATTCGGGCAGGCAACAGATGTTGCATTGCTCGATGTTCTCTACAAAATGGGAATGGAAAATATAATAAAGGTATTTCACTGGAGTAAATTATAAATTTGTTTTTCTTCAACTATTAATTATATGCTTATTTTCAGGAATATCAAAGGATTACCGAAGTTCCTTTTAATTCTGATCAAAAATGGATGTCAGTAGTTTGTAGACACAAGAACGAACCGGATACAATCTTTTTTAAGGGCTCGATAGAAGCCGTGCTGGGGAGATGTACTTCTTATTACGTTTCAGAAACTCACCGGCCTCCACTAAATGATTCATTGAGAGAATCTGTGATGCAACACACCGTTGCAATGTCATCTCTTGGGCTTCGCTGCCTAGGTATGGCATGCGGATCTGAGATCACCAAACTTACCTTCGTGGGATGTGTTGCTATGTATGACCCACCAAGAAAAGGTGCTTAGTTTATTTTTGCTTCACAAATTTTATACATGAATATTAAGGCGATTTTTTATATCATTAGGTGTTGAAAAGGCGATTAGTAAATTGATTAGTGGAGGCGTCAAAGTTGTAATGATAACTGGTGACTCTGGTAGATAATGCGAAAAACGATTTTTTCATTATAAACTTCACATCTATATTATCCTAATGATTTTTTCTTATAAAACGTTTAATACAATAATAGAACAAACGGCCGTCTCTATTGCACGTAAATTAGGAATCCCCGTGAGTTCATCATCACGTCATAGTTATCTAACAGGAAGTGACATTGAGTCCATGACAAGTGAACAATTAAGGCATAATATTAAATCTATATCAGTTTTTGCAAGGACTTCACCTAAACACAAAATGGCCATTATTCAGGCTTTTCAGGAAAATGGATCTATTGTCGCCATGACTGGAGATGGAGGTAT